GCGGACGACGGCCGGCGCGGGCGGGCGCTCCCATTCATTAGCCGCGGCTTTGTCTGCCCCCGCCGGCCCCTCCCGCCGCCGCCGCCGCCCGCCGCCCGCGACGCCGCCGGACGCTGCGCCCCTCCCAGGGCCCCGCGCGGCGCGGGGCGGGGCAGGGGGCGTGGCCGGCAGGGCGGGCGGCACCAGGGACCCAGGCACGGCAGACGGGGCGAGCACCGGCCGACCGCGCAGGCGCGATCTCCATCCCTGGGCTGGGCCGGACCGACGACGCAGGCGCGGTGCCGCCTGTGGGCCGGGCCGACTGCGCAGGCGCAATCCCCGCGCATGGGCCCCGCCCCCGGGCTCGTGCGGACCAGCCTGTGAAGCGCAGACTCCGCACGCCGGCCTTTGGCTAGGGTCTGGGCCGAGCGGCCGCGCAGGCGCAATCTCCGAGTGCCGGCTTGGTCCGGGGCCCAGGGGGCCCGACCGCGCAGGCGCAGTCCGGTGGGCGGCCGCAACGTCTGCAGGCGGCGGCTGGGCGCGCGGTAGCTGCGCGGTCCCGGCTTCGGCGGCGTCCGGCTCGCGCTTGCCCGGCGCCCAGCCCGCCCGGCCGCGGGGCCCCGGAGCCACAGGGCGGAGAACGCACGTGGTGCGGGCGCGGGCCGAGGTGCCGGCGGGGCCCACGGCGGGGGACGCCCGGAGCGCGCTTACCCGGAGGCCGCGCGAGTGTCCTCCTCCGTGCCCCGGCGCTGCGAGGGCCGCGGGGGCGCGCTGGCCGCGGTGCTCCGTGCTGGTGCGTCTAAGCCCTTCAGTCTAAGACGAGAAAGCGCTTCGCGGCGGCCGCGCTCGGGGGCCGCGCGGATTAGAGCTTAAGCCTGTGGGGCCGGGCGGGGAGACCCTGCGGCGGTGACCGCGGCCGGAGGCCTCGGGGCTGGGCAGGGGGCGTGCGGCGGGCAGGTGCCGCACGCGCGGGGCCGCGGGCCTCTTGGTCTCTGCAGGCATCTGGGCGCTTAGTGCGAGTTTCCTGGTGACCAGCTCGGGCGGCGACTGCCCCGACCGTGCGGACTGGCCGGAGACCCGGCCTGTCCCCGTTGCCGACGACCGCTCCTGTGTCGCAGAGGGAGATCGGTGCTCCCTGCCCGGCCAGCGGGTGCCGTGGGTCCGGCCGCGCCCCTCCTGCCCGCGCGCTCCCCGGCTCCTCCCACCCCTGCACGGGCCCGAGGCCCTGTCCACCCCGCGGCCCGCCGCCGTGGCCCCCTCGCTCCGCTCCAGCCTGGGGGGCGCGACTTCCGCGGGCCTCAGGGGTGACGTCCGGGCGCAGTGTCGACCGCGGTGGCAGTCGGTGTGCGCGTCTGTGTGTGGTTGGCTCCCGCCTCCCAGCGCGGGGCCTGGCGCAGAGCGGTGGCGGGGGGGGGGGGGGGGGGGGGGGGGGGGGGGGGAGGAACTGGTGTGGAGCTCAGGGGACAGCATGGACGCGGTGGCCGCCGGCCAGGGCCCACCCGCCACCTGTTTGTGGCTATTCGTTCGTTTTTTTCGTTTCGTTTAATTGCTCCGAGCTAAGACTATTGTCTCCTTCGTGGCTGGGGAAAAAACCGAAATAATAATATCTCACGACGTGGGAAAACTACCTGACATTGGAATGTGTCAGTGTCCTTGAGGAATTTACTGGGCCGCGGCCGTGCCAGCTCACTGCCCTACCGCCTCCAGCAGCTCATGAGCCCAGTGGGGGAGAACTTGCTTCCCAACCCTTGGCAAAAAACCTGTGGTCTCCTGCTCTAGATGGCAACAGCCTCCTTCCTGGTCCCTGCTATATGCTGTGGTCGCCTGCCCACTGACACCTTCGGCGGCTCCCTGTGTCCCTCAAAGCCAGAGTTCTCACAGCTGTGATGACCAGGTCCACACTGCCTTCCCTCGTGGACTTGGGTCCAGCTCTGGGTCCCACCTCAGGGCAGTGGCCCTGGTTGTTCCCTCCACCTGGAATGCTCTTCCTCAGTCCTCAGCCTGCCTCACCCGTGTAGATCCTGGCCCAGATGTCACTATACTGACCATTCTCTATAAGGCAGTGCCCCTCCCCTCACCCCTGCCTCCCAGCCTCGCTGTTCTCAGACATTTACGGGGGCCAGCCTCGCTAACACTCCAGGAGAGCAGGGCCTTCCCTGGTATGTCCGCTGATATACGCACACCCAGCATGAGAAGACAAGCGCGTCCAGAGGCGGCAGGATAGGCAGACTGTGTCGGCACGACGGCTGGGCGCCAGGCTAGGGGCGGGCAGGAAAGGTTCCCCTAGTGGAATGGCAGCAACGCTTCCCAGGTCCACCCTGGCTCCCGCACTTTCCACATCCTGCAGGTCGGCCAGGTGTGGCCTGCTCTGACCCCTCGCAGGAAGGATTTTGTTGGGTACGTAGGGTGGCCGTCCACCCAGTGCTTAAAAGGAACACTGGGAGCTGGGAGGGCAGTGCTGCTGGTCATGCAGCCAGCCCCCAACAAACTGGGACTCAGCGAGTCACGATGCGTGGCAGCCCTTCCCAGAGCTCTGCCCCTTCATTCAACAAATCTTTGATGAGCATTTTCCGGCCTTCTGTGACGCTGTGGCAGGATCACAAGGTGATGGGGTGGTGAGAGGTGGACACCAAGCTTGGCCTGGTGGGAGGCTGCAGCTCAGCACAGCTGGGCACTGACGCCAGCTGAATCCTGACTGGGACTCCTCACCTGTGTACCCACATCCCACTGCCTGCACTGTGATTCCCCCACCTGGGTATCCAGAATCCCCTCCACCTGGGCACCCCCCGAATGTGACCCCCCACCTGTGTATCCAGAATCCACACCCTCCCGGGCACCCCCACTCATGGTGACCCCCCAACCTGGGCATCCAGAATCCCCTTCACCAGGGCACCACCCTCCACGCTGTGATCCCCGACTTTGGTATCCAGAGTCCCCACCCCCAGGGCACTGTGATCCCCCACCTGGATATCCCCCATCCACGTATCCCCATCGCTGCTCTCCCAGGACCTCTGAAGCCTCGTTGGGTGGGTCCCAGGACCTGCAGGAGTAAGTGCCCTGCAGCGTTCCGCTTTTGCATTGTCTGTTTGTGTGGTTAGAGGCCGGAGAACACCAGGTCCCCAATGGGGACACGTGGAGGTGTCCCCACAGTTTTTCTCTGGGGCACTCATGGCCTGGAGTAACCTTCTTTTTTGGCCTAGATGAGCTATAACGGTCTGCACTTCACAGCTTCTGGAAAGCCCGCCACACAGCCCTGGAACCCCAGAGCTGTGCCAGATGGTCACTGTCTTGGTTCCGGAGGGGACGCTGGTGTCAGGACACTGTCAGCCACCCTGCGGAGTGATGCGGCCAGGAACAGGCAGGTGCGGAGGAGCCCGGCACCTACTGCCCAGCCCTGCCGCTGAGATCTCGGGGCTTCCCTTTCGGCACCTGGGAAGTGGGGACAATGTTAGTGAGGGGCGTGAGGACGGTGAGAGCATCCTTCAGAGCCCGCACACCTCCGGCCCACTCTTCTGCTGCAGTGGGGATGGAGCCTGTCTAGGTGGAGGCCCCAAGAGTGGAGACACCCCGCAGGCAAAAAAGTGAGGGCAGAGATGTGGCTGGGAACACCCCCTGGGGTGCTTCCTTGGGGTTTGGCCCTTCCTGGGGTGTAGAAGTGGGGTGAAGGAGAGCTGGGAATGACAGTGTCGAGACCACTCAGGTTATGGGGGGCACTGAGTGGATGGCCCGTGTGGAGAACCACAGCCTTTCCCGCAGATACCTCCAGGGCCCAAGGAAGGAAATGCAAGGGTCATGAGCAGTGGAGGCGACAGGAGCTACCAGTGAGACACTAGCAAGCAGTGATGAGCTCCACAGAGATGGAACGGCCTTGGGGGACACTGACAGCAGGGCCTGCCAGGAGGAGCCTCAGCACATTGGGGCGACAAGGGGCCTTGTGACCGGGATGGGGTCCTTGGGAAGGAGCACACACAAATCATCAAGCACCAAGGCCCTGGGGCAGGCATCAACGACTGTATGGATGGTAAGCCGAGCAGGGAGGGGGCGGGGTAGGAAGGGGCTTGAGGGTGTTAGGGTTGGAGTGGGCAAGGGTCCAGGGAGGAAGAGGGATGGGGACTTAATGATCCCGGGGGGGGGAGCGACTGTGTCTCCTGCTGGACGGAGATGTCGAAACCTGGTAAGTGCACTTGGTGAGAATGGGAGGGCAGTGCTCCGGGGGTTGGTGCCCAAGTGGGGCACGGGGTTCAGGCGAATGCATACGCTGGCCCTGGCCCTGGCCCTGGCCTTCGAGCACAGAAGACGCCAGACTGTGGCGGCTGGTTCTGTGTTATTTTCCAAGGTGGAAATGGCTCTGGAGTTTGTCGTAACTAGGATTGGTGGATTCAGCAAGTAGAAGTACAAATACTGCACAGGACATCGTCATACTAAGACATTAATTATCCGAGTTTTTAATTTCACTGGGTATACTGTAGTTTATCTAGCAACTGTAATCATACCAGGAACACTGTTCGCCATAAACAATCTGGCCAACACCAAAATAAAGAGAAAATGACGGCTACCTACAACCCCATCCCAAAAGGATAACATGGAAAACAAATCAGATGCGTATCTTGGTTTTACGTACAAGCTTGCAGATTAAAAATCAGAAAAGACTCTACTGTGTGTACTCTTTTCTAATCTAGTGTTTTCACTTAACCGAGTCCCCACCTACCTGTATCCATGCCACGGACTACGGCAGCACAGGTCATTGCTAACGGCTGCTCGGTACCACACCGAGTGGGTGAGCACGCAGCCCCGTGGAGGCTCCCAGCTGTGCCCAGCTCCCCTCGGGGAGCCCACCAGTTCTGACGCCCTGGCAGTTCCCTTGGGTTATTTCTTCAGAATACATTCTTAGCAGTGGAGTTTTCTCAGCTGAAAATTTTACAGAGGTGATTGTGGACACATATGCGATTCCAAGAAATAATGCAGAAGGGTCCCTCGTACATGGTAGTTTTACCCAAAGGTAACATGATGGCAGCAGGGGCGCCTGGGTGACAGGGTTGAGCGTTGGACTCTCGGTTTTTTTGGATCAGGTCATGATCTCAGGGCTGTGCGTGGGCTCGAGCCTTGCATCAGGCTCTGTGCTCAGCCTGGACTCCACTCGAGATTCTCTCCCTCTCCCTTCTCCTGTAACTAAATAAAATCTTTAGAAGTAACTGAATAAAATGACAGTAGGAGAATCACAGCCAGGGCATTGATACCGGTAAAGTTCACCGATGTTGTCCCTCTTTCCCCAGTTTTACATGTACTTGTGTATTAGTTCCATACATTCTTAAAATGTTTCTTTTTCCTTTAAGTGGGCTCCACATCCAGCGCAGAGCCCAATGCAGGAGTTGAACTCAGACCCTGAGGTCGAGACCTGAGCTGAGATCGATTCAGATGCTTAACCGACTGAGCTCCCCAGGCGCCCGATTCTCTACCTTCTGAGCACCCAAGCTGGCTCATGGATCCACATGGGGAGTTCCAACAAGGGTTGCTTCTGGTCCCCTTTGAGAGCCACGCCCACCCCCCTGCCCCTCACCCCTGCCCTACCCTGTGCTGGCAGCAACCACTCATCCGCCCTCATTCCTAAAACTATGTCGTCTCAGTATCGCACAAAGGGAGTCAGGCGGCGAGTAACCTGCTGAGATCGCTGTTCTCCTCGGTAAGTAGCTTGCTAGAGACCCCCTCCAAGTTGTTGGATGTCAATGGTTTGTCCCCCAGCCCTGCCGAGCGGTGGTCCTTGGTTGGGGGCACACCGTGCTTCCCTTCTCACCTGCCGGAGGACGTTGGGGTCGACTCTGGATTTGGTCCGTTACTCGGAGAGATGGGATGAATATTTGTGGGCAGCTTTTGGTGTGAGCAGAAATCCTCGTTTCTCTGGGAGAATTGCCCAGGAGCCCAGCTAGGTCATGTGCTGGCTGCGGGTTTTGTTTTCAGAGCAGCCCCAAGCGGTTTTCCAGAGTGGCTGCTCCGGCCTGCACCCCCACCGAGGCGTGCGAGTGTCCAGTGTCTCCGCCTCCTCGCCAGCATTCAGGGCGCTCACGGCCTTTCATCTCCGTCACCTAGCTTGCATGTCCCTACTGCCTGATGACGCTGGGCCTCTGTGCCTACGCTCTTGCTTGTGACGTCTCTAACTATCTGTTGGCGAGTTTTTACGTGGATGGCTTGGTTTTTACTCTTGTGTTTTCAGAATCTATGTGTTCCATCTCTCAGTCCCCCGTCACACGCGTGGTTTGCAAACCCTGCCTCCCGGTCTGCGGCTTGTCTCCATCCTCTCCACAGGCTCATTCCTAGCAGAGGTTTCTGATGCTCCTGAGGTCTAGTTTAGCAATATTTTCTTTTGTGGTTGTGTCTTTGGTGTCGAGAACTTGTTGCCTAGCCTAGATCCCGAAGATTTTCTCCCGTTTTCCTCCAAAAGCATCATAGTTTTAGGTTCATGATTCATTTCAAGTTAAGTTTTGTATACGGTCTGAAAGCCTTGGGGTGAGGTTCTTCTCCCCCTCCCCCTCTTCCCTCCCCTTCCCCTCTTCCCTTCCTCTATCACTCCTCACCTCCTCTTCCTTCTTCCCATCTTTCTTGCCTTCCGCTGTCTAATTGCTCCAGCGACGCTTGTTGGAAAGGCCAGCCTTCCTCCATCGCAGCGCTTCTGCGTGTGTCTAACATCAGTTGGACATGTCTGTGTGGGTCTGTTTCCAAGTCTCTGTTTCTTCCATTGAGCCGTGCTTCTCTCCTTCTGCCAACACCACACACGCTTGATTACCACAGCTATCTGTTCTTGAAATCAGGTAGACTGGTTCTGGCCTCTTGCTTCTCCTTTGCAAAATTGTTATAGCTTGAATCGTTCCTTTGCCGCATAGTTTAGAATAACCTTGTCTGTATCTAAGAAAAATCTTGCTGGAATACTGATAGGAATTGTGGTAAACCTGTATATCAATTTGGAGAGAACTGGCATTTTTACTATTTTGAGTTTTTCTGGTCTATCTCTGCACTCATTTAGATCTTTTATTTCTTTCATCAGCATTTTATCATTTTCAGCATACAAGTTCTATACATGGTTTTTTTGGTAACTCTTACTATTTCATTGGATTTTTAACCGTTGTAAATGGTTGTGTGTTTAATTTCAGTGTCCTTGTATTGATTGCCAATAGTTGTGGTAGAAGCAAGAAGAGTTGATGTTGCAGATGAAATCAGAAGGCAGTCTGCTGGAGAATTCCCTCTCGCCTCGGGGAGGTCTGCCTTTTGTGCTCTTCAGGCCTTCAACTGATTGGATGAGGCCCACCAACATTATAGTGGGCAAACTTCACTCAAAGTCCACCAATTTAAATGTAACTGTTGGGGCACCTGGGTGGCTCAGTGCGTTAAAGCCTCTGCCTTTAGCTCGGGTCATGATTCCAGGGTCCTGGGATCGAGCCCCGCATAGGGCTCTCTGCTTCCCCCTCTCTCTCTGCCTGCCTCTCTGCCTGCTTGTGATCTCTGTCAAATAAATAAATAAAATCTTTAAAAAAAATAAATGTAACTGTCATCCAAAAACACCCTCACAGAAACAACCAGAAAGATGTTTGACTAAATATCTGGGCACCTTAGCCCAGCCAAGTTGACACATAAAAGTAACCATCCCAGTGCTCTTACTACCCTTTTGATGCCTCCTGTTTCATTCTTGATATTAGTAATTTTCTTCTCTCTTTTCCTTCTTTGTCAGTCTTGTCTGAGGTCTACCAACTTTATTGACCTTTTCAAAGAACGAGCTTTTTCTTTCCTTGATTTCCTATTTGCAATTTCGTTGCTTTCTTTATACACGTTTTATTTATTTATTTGACAGAGAGAGACAGCATGTGCATGTGCAGGGGGAGAGTAGAGGCAGATGGAGAAGCAGGCTCCCTGCTGAGGCTCCATCCCAGGACCCTGGGACCACAACCTGAGTTGAAGGCAGATGCTCAACCAACTGAGCCACACAGGTGCCCCCCTTTCTTAAAGATTTTATTCATCTACTTGAGAGGGAGAGAGAGTGCATGAGCAGGGGGGAGGGGAAATTTCATTGATTTCTACTCTCATTTATATTATTTTCTTTCTTCTTGCTCTGGACTTATTTTACTCTCTTTTTTTTTTTTGTAGGTACTTAAGGTGGACGCTTGGATTATTGGTTTGAGAATTTTCTTCTTTTCTCAGATATGGATTTACTACTATAGTTACTCCTCCTAACACTGCTTTGGCTAGGTTCAGAAATTTTGATATGTTGTATTTTCATTTTTTTTCAGTTCAATATTTTTATTTTTTTAAAGATTTTATTTATTTATTTGACAAAGAGAGAGATCACAAGTAGGCAGAGAGGCAGGCAGAGAGAGAGGGAGGAGGCAGGCTCCCCGCTGAGCAGAGAGCCCGATGCGGGGCTCGATCCCAGGACCCTGAGATCATGACCTGAGCTGAAGGCAGAAGCTTTAAACCACTGAGCCACCCAGGCGCCCCCAGTTCAATATTTTTAAAAAGAACTTATTTATTTTAGAAAGAGAGAGAGAGAAGGAAAGAGTGGGGGGAGGGTCAGAGGGAGAGAGAGAACCTCGAGGCTCCGTGGAGCCTGCCACAGGGCTTGATCCCGGGACCCAGAGGTCATGACTGGAACCAAAATCAAGAGTTGAATGCTCAGCTGACTGAGCCACCAACACCCCTCAATTCAACATTTTTGAATTCCCCGAAGCTTTCCTCTTTTACACATTGATTATTTAGAAGTTTGTTGTTAAGTTTCCAAGTATTTGGAAATTTTCCTGTGGTCTTTCTGCTGTTGACTTCTCGTTAGATTCTGCTATAATTCGAGAACATACTCTGTATGATTTATATTCTTTTAAATTTGTTGAGGTTTGTTTTCGACCAGGATGTGGTCGACCTCAGTTGAAATTGTACGACTGCCTGAAAAGGATGTGTATTCTGTTTTGTTTGGTGGCGTGATCTACAAACATTGTTTAGATTGCATTGGCCTCTGGTGGCCCAGAGTTCCGGATCTTTGCTGACTCTCTGTCTCCTAGTTCTATCAGTAGCTGGGAGTGGGGTGTGCAAGTCCCTGATTATAATTCTATTTTTTGTAATTTCAGATGTGTATTTCTCCTTTTAACTCTGTACTCTTGTTTTATGTATTTTTAAACTCTGTTGTTGGACGCGTACACATTCAAGATCACTGTGTCTCCGGATGGTTTGATCCCTTTATCTTACATAATGATCCTTTTTGTTCCCAGTAATTTTCTTTGCTCTCAAGTCCAGTTTATCTGATTTTACTATACAGTATAATAAATAACGTAGCATACTCTATATAGTAATACATAATAGATAATATACCATGGCTACTCTTACATTTTTACTAATATTTTCATTATATATATTTTTTCATTCTTTTATTTTTAACCTACCTCCATTAGTATGTTTGCTGTGAGTTTCCTGTAGACAGCACATAGTTGGGTTGTATTTTTTTTTTTTTTCAGGTCGTCTCCATGACCAGCACAGAGCTTGAACTCATGACCCTGAGACTGCGAGTTGCACACACTACTGATGGAGCCGGCCAGGCATCCCAGCTGAGCTATATTTTCTTTTAATCCGTTCTGACAATCTGTGTGTTTTAATCACTGTGTTTAGACCTTTTATATGATTTTTGGGGGATATATCAGGGCTTAAGTCTGCCATCTTTTCATCTGTGTTCTGTTTATTCCCTCTCTTTCTTATTCATCTCTCTCCCTTTTCTCATCTTCCTGTGGGATACCTAAACATTGTTTAAAATCCTGCTTCAATTTTTTTATGCGTTTGTGGGCACAACATATTGTGTAGCTTTCTTAGGGCTCTCTTAGGGTCACAGTCCCCATGCAGGTCGTCATCGGCCTCTGGCTCCATCTTCGCACTCGGAAAGGGGCACGGCAACCACCCTTCCACTCAGCTCCCCTCACCATCCCCACTTAAAAATACATAGAATTGCTTATGTTATTTCCCCTGTGTATTTCGTGCCCCATCAGATCGTCACAAGTTTTGCTCCAGCCATGCATCAGTTAAGAAACCCACGAGAAGGGCGAGCCACCGCGCTACCCTCGATTTGGCCCACTCCTTTGTTTTTCTTTCCTTCCTGAAGTTCTAAGGCTTCTGTTATTTCTTTTCTCTTTGGAGAATTTCTTTAGGTGTTCTTGAAGCCTAGTTCTGTGAGAGTCCAAGTGTTGGTTTTTTTTTTGTCTGAGAATGTTTTTATTTCCCTTTCATTCCCAAAGCACGTTTTCACCTGACTCAGAATTCACGGTCGACAGCTTTTTCCTCTCAGCACTTGAGAAATGTACCACTTCCTCCCGCCTCTGCGTTTCTGAGAAAAACCCACCGTTATGCCCATTGTTCTACTCTTACAGGCAAAGTGCTGTTTCTCTCTGCTTTCAAGATTTCTTCATTGTCATTAGTTTTCAGAGGATTAATTATTGCGTGTGGCAAATTTCTTTGATTTATCTTATTTGGGATTTGCCCGGCTTCTGGAATGTCTCGGTCTTTTGCCAAATTTGGGAAGTTCCTGCTATTTGTTCTTCAGATATTTTTTCAGCTTCACACCCTTTCTTCTCTTTCTAGAGTCTAATGATACAAAGGTTAGACCTATCTTTTACATACAGTCCCATGGGTTCCTGAAGTTTTCTTATTTTTCCTCCCGTGTCTTTTCTCCCTGCGGCTCAGATTAGGTAATTCTGTTGTTCTGTATTCTGGTTCATGAATTCTTTCTTCTGTCATATTCATTGTGGTGTTGAGACTCTGTACAGTGAGTATATACAGTGGTATATTTTTTAGTTCTGTAACTTCTGTTTGTCTGTTGTTTCTTTTTTTTTTTTTAAGATTTTATTTATTTATTTGTCAGAGAGAGAGAGAGCGAGCACAGGCAGACAGAGTGGCAGGCAGAGGCAGAGGGAGAAGCAGGCTCCCCACAGAACAAGGAGCCCAATGTGGGACTCGATCCCAGGAGGCTGGGATCATGACCTGAGCCGAAGGCAGCTGCTTAACCAACTGAGCCACCCAGGTGTCCCTGTTGTTTGTTTCTAAGAGTTTCTGGTTTCTCATTTGTTTTAAGGTAATTTATAATTATGTGCCAAAGCATTTTTGAGATGGCCAGTTTACAGTTCCCATCAGGCAATTCCAACATCCGATTCATCTCAGCGGTGGCATCTGTGGATTATTTCTTCTTAGGTCCAGTATGACTCTCCTGATGCTTGGTGCGACAAGTGAGTTTTAAGAGTGTAACCTGAGCAGCGTGGACATCACGTTAGGAGACTCCGAATCCGATCTAACCCTTCCGCTTTCGCAGGCAGTCCTCCTGTTAGGAGTGACCCATCTTGGCCTACTCTTGTGGGTTGTGGTTCCAATGATAATTTCGCTTTTTAGAGCCCCTGAATTCCTACTCTGGTCTGTTTTGTTCACCTGTTGCCACAGAAGCTCCCACTTATTTCTGGGACAGAGGCGATTCCCTCGCTGCCCAGAGCTGTTGGGTGGCTGTACAGAAAGATGGATCTGTGGGATGGAGGGTACATCCTGATCTCTACCAGTTCCCCCAGGGGAGGATAGGTGAGTTCCCCTCAGCTGCTGGGGGGTGGGTGGGGAGACAGTGGGCCTGGATTGCTTTCTACCACTGGCTGGTATGGAGATCCTGGACCTGGACAGCCTTCTCCTGGGTAGGTCCTGGGACACTCCAAGTGTTGTTCCTCAATCCCAGGCCCCCAGTCAGACTCCCTCTCTTTTCCTATAATTGCTGAATTATTCCCTGGTTTTAAAAGTTGTGTTCGGTTGGATGAGCTGAGAGAGATGAGTCCACACCATCTAACCAGATGTCTCTGGTGTTATTTTTAAATTTTTACTTATGTAATTACTTATTCAATATATTTTTTACAACAACTTTCTTAAGCTATAATTCACATACCATACAATGCACTGATTTAAAATGTACAATTTAGTGATTTTTAGTACAGGCACAGGGTTGGGAAGCCCTCACCACAGTTGATTTTAGAACATCATCATCCCCAAAGAAACCCCATACTATTAGAAGTCAGTCTCCAATTCTCCCTTCCCTGAGGCCCTGGCAACCTCTAGCATGAGTTCTATGTCTGTAGATTTGCTTATTATGGGCATTTCATATAAATGGGATCATTCAGTATGTGGCCTCTTGGCATCTTTCCTTTGCATAATGTTTTCAAGAGCCTTCTGTGCGGTACATTTCAGCACTGCATCCCTTTTTGTTCCGTTCATGGATCGATCACATTCGGTGTTCCTGCGCTGATGGACCTCGGTTTATCTTCGCTTATTGACATCATGAGTGATACCGCTGCTGATCTTTGTGAACAAGTTTCTGTGTGGACATGTGTTTTAATTTCCCTTGGGCACACAATCAGGAGTGGAATCTCTGGGTCATACAGTAACTCCATGTTTAACATTTTGGGAAACTGTCCAACTGTCTTCCAAAGCAGCTGTACCTTTTTACACTCCCTCCAGCAACATCCTCCCCAACACTTGTTAGCGTCTGACTTTTTGATCCCAGTCACCCTAGTGGGTGTGAAGTGGTGTCTCTTTGTGGTTTTGATTTGCTTGTCCCAAAAGGTTAATGATGCTGTACATCTTCTCACTTGCTTATTGGTCACTTGTGTGTCTTTTTGAGGAAATGTCTATTCAAATCCTTTATACCCATTTTTAGTCTGGTTGTTCTTTGGTTGGTAGGCTGAGGCCTTTGGCTGTTATTCTGAGAGAGATGGGGAGCTGCTGGAAGGTTCTAAGCACAGAAGTGGCAGTATCATTTGGGCTGCTGTGTCGAGAAAAAGAACACAGGTTCACAGGTGACACAGAGCCTAGTCAAGATACCGAGATGATCCAGGTGTGAGACAATAGTGACTGGCCCGGCGGTAGCAGAGGAAGTGGTGACACGGGGCTGGTTCTGGACACATTTTGAAGGGGTGCCAACAAGATTTGCCGATGGGTCGGATGGGCTTAGCCAGGAAACTTGAAGTCACCATGTACTAGGTAGGTGGATTGGTATCCTATGGTTGCCATAACAAGTGGCCACAAACTGGGTGACTTAAAGTAACAGAAGTGTATTGTCTCATAGCTTAGAGGCCAGACTCCCTCTGAAACCAGTAGGGCAGGATCGTCCCGTCTCTGCCTACCTCTGTCAGCTGTCAGGCTCGGCTTCCCTGGGCTAACAGCCACACCTGCCAATCTGCTTTGGTCCGCATGGCTTTCTTGTGGCCTGTGTATCCGTGTCCAAATTTCCTTGGACACTGTCGTTGGATAAGGACCCACCCCAATGACCTCATCTCACCTTGACCATCTGTGAAGAGCCTACTTCCCCGTGAGATCCAACTGACAGCTCCTGGGGGTAAGGATGTCAACATATCTTCTGGGGGACACGATTCAACACATAACAGGTGGGGAAGGCAACAGAGGAGAAGTCTGGGGAGGAAGGCCAGGGGCTGCAGATCAGGTATGTGACATTTGAGATGCCTGTTAGATATTGTAGAAAGATGCTGAGAGGCCGCTAGATGGAGGGACCATAAGACATTATTTTCAAAAAGTTAACAATACGACTCTATACTTCTAAAGTAAGGAAGTGTCCAAGACTTATTTAAATAATTACTGAGGAAGCATGATGGTCAAATTGGTTCCAAAGACTGAAGAGAGGGTGCCTGGGGGGCTCCGTGGGTGTGTGCCTTTGGCTCAGGTCTTGATCTCAGGGTCCTGGGATCGAGCCGCATGTTGAGCTCCCTGCTTAGCAGGGAGCCTGCTCCTGCCTCTCCCTGTTTGTGCTCTCTCTCTCTCAAATCAATAAAATCTTTTTAAAAAGACTGAAGGGGCTGCCTGGGTGGCTCAGTGGATTAAGCCTCTGCCTTCAGCTTGGGTTGTGATCTCAGGGTCCTGGGATTGAGTCCTGCATTGGGCTCTCTGCTAGGCGGGGAGCCTGCTTCCTCCTTCCTCTCTCTCTCTCCTTGCCTCTCTGCCTACTTGTGATCTCTCTCTGTCAAATAAATAAAATCTTTAAAAAAAATAAAAATAAAAAAATAAAAAAGACTGAAAACAGAAGTATTGGTACTAGCTGAAGACAAGCTTGCTAATTTAGATTAAAAACTGCTTAGTGGGGGTGCTTGGGGGCTCAGTGGGTTAAGCCTCTGCCTTCGACTCAGGTCATGATCTCAGGGTCCTGGGATTGAGCCCCACATCGGGCTCTCTGCTCAGCAGGAAGCCTGCTTCCTCCTCTCTCTCTGTGCCTGCCTCTCTGCCTACTTGTGATTTCTGTCTGTCAAATAAATAAATAAAATCTTTAAAAAAAAACCAAACTGGTTAGTGATCTACAGGGCCATTCAATGGCAACCTCTTCTAATTGTAATTTTTTTTTTTCTTTACCAGACAAGTAATTTCTATCACTTACTACTGGACAAAATTCATGTGCATTGCTATCAGACAGGGATCGCTTTATCTAGCTGTTTGTTTTCTGCAAGTTAAAGTCTACCCTTAATGGGTTGTAAAAAGTCATAATCAATAGTAAATAGCGGTGAAACAGGCGCGGTCTTGAGAACATAAAAAATTCCCTTGGCAGGCGTGCTAGACAACGTTCAGCTGCCCAGCAAAGCACCCATCACCATCCCTTCACCTGTTCTCTTTTTTTTAAAGATTTTATTTATTTGAGAAAGAGAGAGAGAGAGACAGGGAGAGTGTGAGCATGGTGGGGAGGAGCAGAGAGAGAGGGACAAGCAGACTCCTGGGCTGAGCATGGAGCCCAACACGGGGCTTGATCTCATGACCCTGAGATCATGACCTCAGCTGAAATCAAGGGTTGGGAGATTAACCGATTGAGCCATCCAGGCACTCCCTTCACCCATCGTTAAGTTTTGGAAACTCTTTCTTAACTGCTCCTTTTGATGATAAAGGATCTACAAAGGTTATTCTTGAACACAGAAAGCTGGGTCTTCCGTGTTCGGACCTGAGTCACTCACAGGTGCTGTAGAAGTGGTAATTAACAGGGATGAGCCTCCCCGTTGGGCTGGTGCATCTGTGTCACCTGGTGCCGCCCAACGATCAAGTCCAGAAAATCACCCCATTTGGAGATGTTGCCATAATGAATGTGGGGTTGAGTCTCTATTATGCCTGAGCTTTCTGTTATTTGCTCTTCAGTCCTAGGTTAGGAAATTGAACCAAACTCATCTCCCTCTGATTTGCCTGCAGCACCTGTGCCGCTGGGTAAGTCCCCATCTTCTCAAGGACCACGGTGTCGCACAGCTCTTGCTTACGTTACTACTTGTAGGACTCTGATCTGGCACACCATAGGACAGGAGCACGAGTTCGGTGGATCTGTGGGCTCTGTGGACACTGATTCAACACAGATGCTGCAACCCATCTTCCTAAGAGTGGCTGGGTCACCCTGAATGGAGTCTCACGTGTGACATCCACATAAGGTTGTGCAATTTCTCTAAGTATATCCTGGTAGAGAAGAGGACTGACTTCTATTGAAACTATGAAAATAATTAAATTTCTATTAATAGAGTCGGGAAAAATGATCTTTTCCTGAATTCTGAAGTGAGAATCATTTAAAGAATGTTGTATTTGTTGATGGAGGCACCAGCGACTGTAGCAAAGGTTAAAGCTAGATCAAACACAAAGAAAGGATTTCATCGGACTTTTGCTAGAAAATAGAACAAGAAAAGAACACGGCTGCCCTCTCCTTGCCTTCGTCAGGCTCTGTACATCCTAATGGAGACGGGGTAGGGGTGGTGGTTGAGGGTCTTGGGCCCACTTTCTGGCTGGCACAGCCCAACACACAGGGGAGACTGGGAGAGCTAGCAGGTGAACGCACAGAGGCTTTTTGTTGTTGGAAACGAGTTCTACGGAGAGAGAGGACAGAATGAAATCGGTTGGGTTGGAATCGGAGCTGTCAGTACGAACTCCAGCCTCGTGGACGGATATGAAGCTGCAGATACAGGTGTGTGCACCTACATTTCTGAACTCACTCTGGTGAGCATAAATGCGATCGCACTTTATATCACCGTCTTGAGTTGCTGCCATTCAGCATCATGTCTGGGACCCGGCCACAGGGCTCCAAGCGGGACAGTTTCTTCGTGTAAGCCGTTGTGTTCTCTCCCGCTGTGTGGATGTGCCTCACTTTATTCAGTTTATCGTCCAAAGACACTGAAGGTATTTCTTCCTCTGAGTATTTTTGTTATTAAAAGCAATGCTGTCTTGAACACCAGTGCACGTGTCCTCACGAACGAGTGGCGCTTTCTTGGGTGTATGTTCGGGCATAGACAGGATCCAGGAGTACGTAGAGCTGGGAATTGCAGCGCACGTGTGGCATTTTCTCCAAGGGGCCACCACTTCTCCCATACCACATGCTCCTTCCTCTTAAAATGTGACTTTAACACTCGTCTCCCCAGAGGGCAGAGGTCGGCGTCTCCTCTCTCCAATCTGGACAGGCTCGGGCACAAGTGAGGCTTTGTGACCATCGGGGCTACGGCATGAGAAGTGATACAGTTCCCACCTGGTTCTCTCGGAACATGGACACCATCCCACTCTCCATAGCTGGAACCAGCCTACCGGCCCCATGAGGGCACCACCTTGCACGTGGGCCCTCCAGCCCGCAGTAGGGATACCCAGGTGGTGCAGTGTGGAGTGGACAGGCTGTGCCTGCTGAATCCTGCCCAGATAGGACATCCCTGTGCGAAAGGAGTGGTCATTGATTTGGAGCTAGAGTTGTGCAGTAGTTCGTTCCGTAGCAGTGGGTAACTGACGCACAGGTCCGACTTTACTGGGTAATGCCTTATTGTTTACCAAGGTCACCGGACCACAGGACACTCCAGCCAGCAGGGGCTGTGTATATCTGTCATCGTTCCTGTCGATCTACCTTTCTTGTTGTCACAGGTTTGACTTGAACATTTGTGTTCATTTGGTGTGATTGTAGTTTGCATTTCTAAAGTCATTGGTGAGGCTACGGGCCGTCCACGTTCTCCGCAAGGAGCCTGGTTATGGTTTTGCCCATTATTCTATTTGCTGCTCTTTTTCTGATGCATCTGAAGGGATCCTGGACAGTGATCACTTGCGAGGCACACATGTTGCGAGCATCTCGCAGTTTAATTTTCTGTCCATCCTCTCTGCAGTCTTTAGAGGAACGAAAGGGTTAGGGCACATACGGTCTGCCCTTTCATCTTCAATCTCTCTGTGACACGTTCAGATCTATTTGTTACACAAACGCTTGGGTTTCTTCCCGTCGTGTCATATCGTATCCCTTATTTACCATGTGTGTGGCCGTTTGTTGATATCGCCAGTCTTTCCACATTTCAGTTTCCCCTCAACTTCTTTCTACCAGTTTGAAAACCCTCTACTAGGACGAGAACCTTCGTGCGCTTTCTCCTTCCTGCTCTTACCTGCCCTTGCCGTACACCGTGTCGGCTCATCTGGGACTTGCTCAGTTGTCGTGGGACCTTCTTTGCTGGCGTCCAGGTCTTCTCCAGGATACACTTGTCCCTCTGCCAGAGGCGTTCGGCATTTTTCTGGAGACTTTGGGTGTGGCAAACTGGGATGTTTACAGACTGTGAAGACACCTTTCGTTTGCTGTCTCATGAATGAGTTTCTCTGTATATGGAATTCTTGAATTCTTAGAATTTTAATGGCCGCTTCCTTGCCAAGTAACGATCAGATTCAGTCTGATTAAAGAAGACCCTTCTTGGACGCCTGCGGGGCTCAGTGGGTGAAGCCTCTGCCTTCGGCTCAGGTCATGATCTCGGGGTCCTGGGATCGAGCCCTGCATGAGGCTCTCTGCTCGGCGGGAACCTGCTTCCCCCCTCTCTCTGCCTGCCTCTCTGCCCACTTGTGATCTCTGTCAAACAGAGAAGTTAAATCTTAAAAAAAAAAAAAAAAAAAAAAAAGACCCTACTTCTCTGAAGGTTGTTGAGCTCGTCTCTTCATCCTGGCGATTCCAGGATGTCACTGTGACATGACTGTGTGAGTTTCTTCTTCACTCCTCCTGGCATGATTCTGTCATGTGAGAAGCCCTTTTCCCTCCCCTGTCCTGGGAGAAGGGTTTCCCGGCTCTCACCTTTTTCGGAGCCTCTTACTGTTGACCCTGTCCTGAGACACTCCACCGTGCTGCTTTGCGTCAGGTCAGGCCGAGGGAGGGATGCGGGCCCAGCTTGCTTGTCGTCTGCCACTGGGTGCCCTGGCGAGCCTGCATTCAGGTCAGCGGGCATCTCTAGGGCAGTTCCCGGGGCTGGGGCACATATGGTTGGGGTCCCAATGCTGGGCCAGCCCTACCTCCGCCCAGCCTCGAGGGGGGCTGTGGCTGGAACCCTAGCCCACCCTCCAAGCCTTCACTTCTCAACCCGTGCACGGGGGGCAGGGAGACACAAGTGCGGGTCAGCAGAGGCTGGTGGGCTCCGGCTCCCACGGAGGACACTGGTCAGGGCAGCCTGCTCCAAGTAAGGCCTTTGCTGGAGGGCCCCAGGCAGTGGGCTCTGCCCGGCCTGCCCCGATAAGGAGAAGATCTTATCAGCTCAGAGGGACCCAACCTTTGCCCTGGGGGGAGGTGTGTCCCTTCTCTTCCTGAGGGGCCTCTCCTGCTGCCCCCAGCTAGGGGGCTGTGCCAGATCTTTTCTCCCAGGGCCCAGCCCTCCTTCGTGGTCACTGTGCTGGCCAGGAACCCTCCAGAACCATCTAGGCTTCTCCACAGAACATCTAGGCTTCTCCAGGGGCACTGGGCTTCACCTCTCCGGAGCCAGCTCCCCTAATCTGGTGGCCTCCACCTTGGGGATCCGCCGCTCTCCCCTGCCCAGTGTCCTGTAACCCGACTCGGGTTAGCCCTCTACCCTGGCCGGTGACCCAGTCCAGTCGCCCTCTCTGGCCCCCAGCCCCTCAGTCCCAATACCCGCTTCCTCCCCGACCCAGGGTCCGCACACACACCCCCTCAGGCCCCCGGAGGATTCAGGCCCTCTGGACCAGGGCCTTGGCCCTCCCCCTCGGACAGCCAGACCAGGGTCCCCGCCCCCACTCGAGGTCCCGGCCCTCCCCTTCAGGCCCTGGGCCCAGTGTCCCAGCCACCCCGCCCCAGGCCCTCCCCCGGGGTCCCGGCCCGTCGCCTGAGGGCCCCGACACCCCACGGAGGTCCCGGGTCCGGCCGTCTCCCTGAGGCCCCCCAGTCCCCCCTCAGGCCCCCGGCCCCCACCCAGGGCCCCCGGAGGACCCCGGCCCCCTCCTCTGGCCCCCCTCAGGCCCCCGGCCCAGGGTCCCCGCGCCCGCCGCCCCCGGCCCGGCCGCCCCTCCCCGCCCGCAGCCCTCGGCCCGCCCCTCCCCCGGCGGCGCGCGTCACGGCGGCGGCGGGCGGGGCGCGTCTCGCACGCAGCGCGCCGGGCGGGCGCTCGCCGCATTGTTTGCTTCGCTGGGGAGCGAGCGAGCGAGCCGGCCCGGGCGTCCGACCCTCCCCGCGCCCGCCGCCCGCTCCCCTCGCCCGCCGCCGCCGCCGCCGCCGCCGCCGGCCGGGCCTCCGCGCCCGCCCCTGCCCCTCCCCCGCCGCCCCCCCGCCGCGCCGCCCGCCACCGCCCCGGAGAGCCCGAGAGCGCGCGAGCCCGCGGCCGCCGAGCCGGGCCGGGCGCCGCCGACAGGAGCCCGCGCCCAGAGCGGCGGCGGCCCGGGCCTGCGCGGCCGTTGGCGGGGGAGCCGCGGGCGCCATTAGCGCCGCCTGGGCCGCGCCGGCCTCCGCGCCCGCCGCCGGGCTCCCGCGGCCGCGGCCCCGAAGGTGAGTGGGCGGGGGCCGGGCCGGGGCCTCGTCGGGGCCGCCCGCCGCCGCCGCCTCGCCCGCCGGCCTCTCGGGTGCCTGTGCCGGCGCCATGTTTGGCGGCCGCGGCGGGCGGCGCATTGTCCGCGAGCGGGCGGGTGGGCCGCCTCAGGGCGGCCGGGGCGGCGGGGCGGCCGGGCGGGGCGGGCGGGGAGGCGGCGGCGCCGGGGAGGCCGCGCTGGGGAGGCCGGGGGTCGGGGAGGCCGGGCGCGGAGGCCCGGAGCCCGGCGGCGGAGGAGGCCGGGGCGCCGGGGAGGCCGGAGGCCGGGGAGGGAGTTCGGGGACCTGGAGTGCCGGGGAGGCCGGGAGGAGCCGCGGTGTCGGCAGCGGGGGACGGAGACGGGGAGCCGGGGCGTCGGGCAGGCTGGGGCGTCGGGGAGGCCGGGAGGGAGCCGGGGTGCCGGGAGCGGCGGTCGGAGATAGGGGAGCCGGCGGGCCGGGGAGGCAGGGCAGGCCGGGAGCCGGCGGGCCGGGGAGCGGGGGGTGTCGGGGCCCGGCGTCCGGGAGGCCGCGCTCGTCCCCGCCTGGCTCCGCTGTGCCGGCCGCGGCGGTGACCCGCGGCAGGAAGGGCCGGGGGAGCGGCCGCGCGTGCGGGCCGCGGGGTCCGGGCCTCGGAGCCGGCGTGGTACCGCGGGCCGGAGCGTTCATTGTGCGCGAGCGGGTCGCATTATGTAACAGATCCACTCGGTTTGTTTTGCCAAGACAGGAAACTCCCTGTAGTAGGGCCGGACTTTAAACGTTTCCTAACCCAGAGCCCTGGACCGGCCTCGCGGGTCAGGCGCCCGGGCGGGCGGTGGGTGGTCGCGCGGGCCGCGCAGCCTCGGAGCGGGTGGGAAACACCTGTGCTCCCGCTTTCCGGCCCCTTTTAGCAGCAGCGGCTCTCCCGAGGCGGCGTGTGGAGCCAGGAGCCCCGCCGGGAGGGCACAGTTGAGTTTTGACACCAGCCGTGCCCAGGAAGCCGCCACGCCCATCGAGGTCGTTTCCACCCGCCGCAGAGTCAGCCCAGCCTGGGGCCGCGCCTACGGCAGGCTCGTAGAGTCAGGGGGCCCTGGGCACATCGCGGGGGCTCAGGCGGTCCTCACGTAGGCCCGTGAGCTGGGGACCGGCCTTGCTCCCACTTGCGACGCACAGACGTGGTGGAGTGGATGGGACTTGTCCCAGGCCGGGCTGCGAATGAACTGATTGGAGACGGGGAGTGGCCCATTGCTGTGCCCGCTTCCTCTCTCGTGGCTCGCTCGGCTTCTCTGCGTGTATGCAACGGAGTTATTGCTGGAAGCGCTGGCTCTGTCCTTGCTGACCACCTCCCCGTGGGAGTCCTTACTGCTCCAGGGAAGCGCCTGGTGTGGACGCGGCCTGTCCAGTCCCGGTCAGTGGGCGTAGGGAGGCGAGGAGACGGGGCAGTCACTCTGCTGCTCAGTG